GGGGGGATTGGCAACGTCCAGCTGCTAACTGAAAGACATAAATAAAACTACCGTGCCAGATTTGTGCTCAAACACTTCTACCAGAGCTCAATCAACTTTGATGCTCTGATATCACAAATTGTCACCGACATAAATCCGGCTATTAAACGCAATGAAGGAGCATGAGTACCTCACTTAGAAACTTTGCGACATACCTTACTACCCCTGCTCGTTTCACTTTTTCACAGTTCCATAAATCTTCCTTGCACAAGTATAATTTTTGGTCGATATGCAAATGCTTAAGTCTATGTTGATTGTGGAACTCAACTTATGTCAATATACTTTGGTGCGTTTTCTTGCATTTCATATGCCGGTTGGTCGCCTCGTAGGAAATCGTCTCGATAAGGTAAGTTTCACTGAAAGAGGTATCACATTTATTATGAATGTTGCGGTCCCACATATGGGACATATATGGGATATGTTGGAGACAACGCATAAAATGTTCTTTAAACAGGGACATCTGGCGTTTCGGACCAAGCTCGGCCCGTCTTCAGAATATATATATTTTAAAACATTTTAACAGAACGTTTTAAATTGGAGACTAAGCTTGCATATGGCGTAGCGTGGATATTGTCTTTCATCAGGGTCCAATTAACGGACACAGACAAATATTTACTGTACATATCATTGTTTCCTGTGCAGCAGCGAGAATACTAACTGGAATACACTAAGTGTAGCCTTCACCTCTTTTTGGCGCCCTGATGAGAACCTGAATGAAATTATCGTTCTGCGTTTAGACAGTTTCATCAAGCCAGTCCGGGCGCCGATCTTCGAATCCTTCTGAAGATTCGCTCAGATGAGCTATCGGTTGCATCCTCGTAGGAGGTACATCTGTGGAAACGCACTTTCAGACTGTTTTTCTTGTAAAACACCTGGTATAAGTATCTAACGGTAACCAATGACTTTGTAAAGCAAGAATTTTTCCCTGCTATCCTGAAGTTACGTATACAAAGCTGAAAACAGACATACAATTACCTGTCAGCGCTTAAGCAGTGAGGAGGTCGCTTGCGGTTATGCAAGAGCTAAGGGAATTTATGGTCAAGATAACAGTCAGCTTGCACCCACCTGACAGAAGCTAACGTATTCTGTATGAAGTGAACGCTTAAATTAATATTTCAAATATGAAGCAGATAGAAGATGATGACACTTCTTGGCTTATGGTCACTCCCAGAACTACAGTGAGAGTTTCAAAGACTGAAGTGTCTGAGCTACGGCTACGGCAAAAATCGTCAATCACTCCCGAACATATGGATAATAAGTTTTAGTCAGCACCACTCGTTTCGCTGCCAGTCGCCTCTTTTCGACCGAGTCAACTTAGGAAACTTTGTCAATGAAATCAGTGAGTTTCGAGTCAACAAACGACAAATCCGACGAACGGTAGTCGATCGCCGCCGGGCCGAATTTAAAACAGTCACCGCGCAGAACAAGTCGGGTCCAACATCGATTCCTCTTTTTCTGCTGCTCTGCCTTTTCTCGTTCCTCTGCTCGACGATGAAGAAAATGCAATTTTCGCCGCCGCGAACCGAATCAGCATTTGCAGAAGTCGGTTGTCGGTCGGCGTATGGACTGGGGGCCATCCGTACCCCGGAAACCAGATCGGTTGTAATAACGTCGAGCCAACGAAACAACGCGCGCATAATAAATGAATTATTCATCGGATGTGAACAGCCAACCTCGTTACAAGCCAATTACCGGGGTGGAGCAGCGGAACTCAAACGAGTACCGCCGGCGAATAGGTGAGTGACGTGTCGGTTTCCGTGTGCATTCGTCACTCTGGACCTACCAGTAATTCGAACGTTCGATCTGCAGCGTTAACTCACAATGTCTGCATGCATGAACGCATACGCGTAAGTCGCATCGCCTGATTCTCTGAAGCAGTTTCAGTGCCGGCGAAACGAGGATGTTCGTTGAAACTAGTAGACCTGCAAATAATGACCTTAAGGCCTGAACTACCAATGTTGCTGGCCCGTCTACGCCTCCTCGACTCCTCAAGAAATTACCATTAGCACGGGGAACCATCCGCAGACATCCAGTGACTGGCATGCGTTTTAGAAATTGAGACGGCTGTGAAATTAGTCCTTACTTGGATCATACCCTAACTTTTGATCTGCATAATTGTCTGTTTTGTCAGTTTACCCCTCTGGCTCGGTTCGTTAAGCACAACGTAATGCATACAGCTTCGACTGCTCGATAAAGCCCAATATTTAACCGAGGTTCAGACAATTCCACGAAAAGGAATATCGATTGTCAGTGTAAAATAAGTAGTTACGTATAATCGTCACGTGATCATCTGGTTAAGGGCAGAAAGTGCTGCACGTAACATAAAGCAAAGTCAGTCTAGATAAAATGCTTGAACAATTTTCTTAATGCATAAAATTTACCGTTTTTCGTCTTACTTACTTGTTATTCTAAATCAAGAAACGAAAAGATCTGGTGCGGAACAACAACCACTATTTTTCACTGAATTTTCCGCTCCGTTAAAAGCAACAACTTCGGTAAAGGACAACTGAAAAAAGCATGTCATCATGAAATAGCTTCCATTCAACTTTTTCGGCCCAACATTGCATAGGCTGCAAGACCTATAGCGTTTCCGAACAGCAGGCAATTAGTAGGCAATTCGTAACTGAAAAACGGCTGTGTTGACAGCAGCTGTAACCGGGGGTATTTTGCAACTTTCGTCAAAGTCGCTTTGAGTAGCAGATTGAGTTAGCGTTCGCATGTTTAGAAAATTTTACTGATTTTCAGGCCAGCATGTCTTCTGCTAAATATTTTCACACCGAGAAGAACTCCAGATTAGTCGTTTGCCAGTGACGGTTCAGGGAAGGAGCAAGTAGATGGCAAAATACACTAGTTTACGCCAGATCTTTGATTTTTTGGAGCTCTTATAGTGCGAATGATGGAATGAGAAAAGACAGAAATCAGGGTTACACTCTGTGCTAATTATTACTTTCGATAGTTTGCCGTCAGGTAAATGAAACCTGAAACCAAAGTGTAGTCAGAAGGAGCGTTCGCATTGCGCAGCATGATCATGCACGTCGCCAATTATGA